GCTCTGCACATCGAATGTTTCCCATTTATCCACCATGAAGGTGCTCACCCAACAACAGAATGGGGTGTGAGAGCTGCCCAAGAATAATTTTGTTGTTTGTAGAGAAAATAAAACTCAAAAGAACACTTTCTCTCTCAAGGTGCAGTAATTGGACGAGTCCCTGCTCTTTGGCCAGCCCAACTTTGTAAAAACACCCTGTGAACTGTCTCTGGTTTCTCCTCTAAAACACTGCCAATTGAGCTGCTCACTCAGCACCACACACACAGAGCCACTAAACCCCAAACCACAATCTCTGCTGGCCACTCGTGCTGTCCCACAGGGCAGAACACCACACACAGGAGCTGTAAAACCCTGAGCCATTAAACCCTAAACCACAATCTCTGCTGGCCACTCGTGCTGTCCCACAGTGCAGAACACCAAACACAAGAGCTATTAAACCCTGAGCCATTAAACCCTGAGCCACCACAATCTCTGCTGCCCACTCGTGCTGTCCCACAGGGCAGAACACCACACACAGGAGCTGTTCCCAGCACAACTGCAGCATGGACAGCATTGAAATTTCCTTCAAACCTAAACCAGCAAGATTGGAWTTTTATTTTTAGCTCGCTCTTCTTCACAGGGCTATTAAGACCTGGTCAGATAAGGCTTTTGCAAGCTATCCAAGGCCAAAGCACCTAAATGCACACCTCCAGCCTACAGCATTTTGCTGCTGCTGCTTCTGGCATCCAGAGAGTTTAGATGAAAACAAGMAAACACTGGGCAAAAACTGTTCCAGAAACAGCTGAATATTTATGGCTGGTACACAGAAACCTGACTGGCAAGTGAATGCTTCAGGTAGAGATAAAAGGAGTGACAAAAGGATAACTTTCATGTCTGCAGTCACATTTAATGAATGCATCAACATTTGCAGATGATTAGGTCCAGCCTAAGTGCTTTGTTGTTCCTTTGTTCCAATTCTGAAGGGTTCGTATTTTATTTATTCTTTTTCTTCTTTTTTTTTTTTCTTTCCTGCCCCCATAGTTGCAACTAAATATAATTTTTGGCTTTTCAAGACCTATTTCCATTTATAGAATCCAGATGACAGTCTGGGGATGATATTTCCTCGCTGAGGCATCTTCCTCCTTGACAGAGGGAGAGATAATCACGTTGGGTGAAACAGGCTCGGCATCTCTGACAAGCTTAAGATGTCAGAAATGAGAGCATCGTGTCTGCTCCCTCTGGATGTTTTTTCTTGAGGAGTTGAGCCCAGCTCATGTGCAGAGCAGTGGTTTTGCAGTGCTGCTGTGCCATCAGTGACAGAGAGCACCAGGACAGAGCCAGGGGACAATTCCCTTCTGAGGCTGCCACAGTGGCTCTTTAATTGCTTGGTTATTTATTTAATTATGGCAGCCACAAGGACTTGTGCTCAAGCTGCCAACCTCCTCTCCCTGAACAACTGCTGCTCTGGAATTGCTGGTGCTGGACAATCGTCCTTCCCCTGGATGTCACAGGAGCAGCCCCACGTTCAGGATGCTGTTCCAGCTCACTGAGGACACCTCACCCTGCAGGGTTTGCACAGGGACTGAGTGTGGACAGCAATTTCCAAGGACTGAAACCTCAGACCCCAACAAATGCCTCCACCCTCTGTGTCACTGCCTCCTGGATCAGAGCAAACATGCAGCACTTGCCCCCTCCACACTKCATTTGTGGATCAAATGTTCTGCACAAATCACAAATCAAATTATGCTGATAAAATAGTTAGATCAAGGTACTACTGTTCTTTCGAGATGGGCCATTTGATGCTGCAAAATGCCACTTTTCTGAAAGTAAAGATTTTTACTTTACTTTACTTTCAAKACTTTTCCACAAGCAATCTTTCCTTGCCAGATGCTGATGTAAATGCTCACAAATCATGGAAGATTTCCARCAGATGTGCCACCTTCAGTGAGACCAGAAAAAGGAGGCTTTTTTCCCCTCTGGTGCCAGGGAGGGGTTTTGATGGCAATGCCAAAATCTGGGGACTTYCTGATGGTTCCCAAAACTCGTGAGMCCARGCAGACACCATTCACTGTCCTCAGTGGCAGAAATGAAACCACTCAGGCTGGAAGGGAGGGGAGCAGGGCTGAATGCTCAGAGGATGTGGCTCTGCTCTGAACCACACAGCAGCTTAAATGAAGATGCTTTTGATCCAATTACTTATGGCTTAACCAAATAATGACAGAGGACATTTCCTACTCGCTGTGCTCAGACCTCCTCCTCTCATCTGAGAACAATTTCATTATTAAAACAGAGATCATAACAATATTAATAARCCACAGCCAGTTTGCCCATGGCACAGCCAGGAACAGATGGGCAATGTGSTACCCAAACACATCTGCTGTATCATAAAACACTGTATTTTGCACAGTTTGGCCACCCAGGTGAACAGAGTCACCCAAGATGGAAAGGGCCACAGTGGTTCTGTGTGCAGAGCTGAACCCTCCCCAGGAGGGCTGTGGTTGTTATTTTAACACCTGTCTGATGGTACGTGGGTGTTTTATTAATAGAACGGATCACACACGGTCTGAGGTAAATTRAAATTCCAATTCTGCTATTCCATGTCATTGTAGAATGTGCCAGGCTGCTGTTTGATTTGGTTTCTAGCAAAGCAGGYGAACAAACTGCCTTGCCAGGCATGAATTCAGATCTGCAGTGAGGCCAACACAACTGCATTGGCTCATTAATGCAATTTGGTGTAACCTGCACTCATTAGAGCAGCCCCCATCCACATCCCTCTGACTGCAGCTTTGTTTTAGACACCACCAGAGGTGACCTGCTGTGCCAAATGCCTCTTCTGTCTCATGAAAACTTCAAGGTTTTCCATTTTGCTATTTCTCTGATTTACTCAGGCTTTAAAATCCATTCAAATGCAAGGCTATTATAACATTTTGAGTCTCGTTTTTCATCCAGAAAATGATTATTTAACTAGATGAAGGGAAATGCTACAATACAGACAGCACCATGATGATAGTCATGCAGGACATAAGTTTACAGATAAAACTGATGAACTCCCTCCTGCATTTGGTGGAAAGGATGGTTTGACCATACAGGAAAGGAAATATAGGAAACACAAATTATGAGTGTGCCATAGTTGAAATAATAAGAACCAACCTGTGACCCTGGTTTGCAGCCCAGGCTGCTGTCAGTATAAAAACTGCAGAGAGCTGCCCCCACAGTCAGGGAAAAAAAAATTAAAAATCAAAATCTTTCTGTGCTTCAAAAAGGGACACTAAAATGAAGGTTCACAGACAACTGAGGCAGCATTTAGCCTTTAAGCAGCCCTTACCCAATCATCACATTTGGATATTTAAACCTGGTCCTTGCACAACATCCACCCATGGCAGCAGCACAAAATTCTTGGGTGCCACTGAGTCTCCTCCATAGAGAGATGGAGCAGCTCCACACAAAACACCTTCTGTTCYCTCAGCACACTTAAAAACACTGTTATCCAAAGAGAGACAGACTTGTGACCCTCTGCTACACAGCAAAACCAACTGCCTAAGAACAGAACAACAAAACCATCCATTGTGCRTGACTGCTGCTTCCTAAACWAAAWCCTGWTCTTGAGAGTCAGCTSCACACTGCACATTCAATAAYKTGRTAATGCACTGCAGCCCTGCATACACACTGCCTATACATCATCTCTGAGCTCACTTGAGATGGAAAAGTTTGTTAAACTTAATATATTTATTGATTTATTTAGGTACATGTCGTGTACCACCAGTGCTGGGAGAAGCTCCTGATCTGTGCACGGAGGATTCTGGGACTGGAACCCGAATTTTCCTGCCCTCAATGTCTCTCCTGTGAACCAGAGAAAAGTCACTGTAGCTCACAGTGACACAAGATGCTCCATCCCTGCTGTGTCCTGCCCAGCTCTGTGGCACAAATGCTGCAGCTCAGGCTCATCTTTGCTTTCCTTCACTGCCCAGGACAGATCCTTCCGTGTGCCCATGGAAAGAATCTGCGTTTCAAAGGGGCTGCTCAGAGACAAGCAAAGAGAATTTCATGCAGTATCTTTCTTTCTGAAAACACTTCTGAAGATTTTCCTCTATTCTTTTTTAGAATGCCTCCTGAGTAACCTGCTAAATAATTAATATCTTTCTTATTTTGCTMCCGTAATGTGAATACTTAATCCATTCCTTAGCAGCTGCTGTATGAGAARTGAATAAAGTGCTGCAGTGGGGTTTCAGAGAGCATTTACACTCCACTGAGTCACTGCACAGGCTCTTGGGTGTCTCACATCCCCTTTACAGCATCACACTCCAAACAAGCTCCTGTCATGCTCTGGAGTCTCTGGGTGGATATCAGAGGGAAGGTGGTGGTGACAGCAGGAAATCCTCAGCCAGAAAAATCCTCAGCCAGAAAAATCCTCAGCCAGAAAAATCCTCAGCCAGAAAAATCCTCAGCCCCCTTGGAGAGCTCAGCATGACAGATCAGGAGGAGCAAAGGCCCCAAAGCTTCACCAGTGTAATACTCTCCAAATTGCTCCTCACAATTGAGCTGTGTGGTCTGGGACATTATCAAATGTTTGTTGTAGAACAGCACCAGACAGGTTCTGCAACAACACAGCCCATGGTTTCAAAATCCACCTTCCCATTAATAAGTGCTCTGGTATCAGAGTGATTAGGTTTTATCTTGATTTTTTTTAAAAAAAAAAACAAATCTGCTCCTATTTGCTACCAAATTTCAGTTTTAATTTTCAAAGATTTTCCTGTCTATGTCAATTAGAATTGTGACCACATCTTGGTTTCTCTCTGGCCAAGAAAATCCATATAATTTAAGTTAGTTAACATTTGCTGCTTCCTTTCTGTACACAGAGAGGTTTTAGGTATTAAAACACAGAAATAAGTAAATCAAGAGCAGGACAGTGAAGACACACTATTATACAATATTTTAATAAACCTTTAGCCTTATTTCAGTGAAACAAATGAAGAAGCTCCCTGGCAGAGGAGGAGGGGAAGAAAAGGCACCACATCTCCTACCTTGACCTGTGGATCTCCACTTTCTCTCCATTCAATCACTGCCTCGATCCATGGGAAAGAAAACATYCACCAACTGCCATCCAAATCACGTGTCTGCCTCGCTTTAACAAAAATAAATGCTCAGGAATGCATTCGAGCAGCAACTGGAAATATCTGGAGCAGGAATGCTCAAGAAACATGAAGAGGTTCAGTTCAGCAGGGCAGATTCTCCTCTGTGGTGGGTCTGGGCTGCACCCACTGAGCTCAGCTTTGGATGGACAGAACCTCAGCAGGGAGTGATGGAAAACTGCCCGGGCTGCCTCAGCTCCCCCTGACACAGAGACACCAACATCCTTCTGGGAATCAGCATTTGCGTTTATTTGTGCCTTGGGTTGGGATTTTTTTTCAGGCTGCTCCAGGCAACGTATTTGTAGTTCACTGGACACAGCCTCCCTAATAACCATTACTGTTCCTGGSCATTTTTAATGAGTTGATGCAAGACAATTCCACTTCCTTCCCCCTTTAGAAAGAATTTATAAAAAAGATCTGTATAGGAATAATAGACTGATAATTAGAGAAGCCACATGCCATGGTTGGAATTAAAGGAGCCATCTGTTTCTTTACAGTCATGCACATCTCGAGTGAAAAGTACACACATGACATATGTCATTACTTCCACTTTCCTAATGGGAAATATTTGCCATGACTGCCTCCCACAGGAGCTCAGGGAGCTCCAGCACCAGTTTGCAGTGTTTCAGGAGCTGCTCTCCCCAAAGCTCTGCACTCAGGTTTGATCTGCTCCTCAGCCAGCCCAGCACAGCTCTGCATGCTCTGTGAATCCTTTRCAAACACATTTCCTGCAAGATCTGCACTGGGGATGGGTTTGCTGTTCCTGAGCTCCACACACACTTGGGTCTCACCATTTAAAAGTCAATTTAGGAAATTAAGCTGCTCACTGGATGAYATATTTTCATGTCACTGTATTGTAATATGCAATTTTTTTTTTTCCTTTCATCTACTTCCAAATTGCCCTGACAAAATCAGATGATGGAAATGCAGCAGGCACACCCAGAATGTTCTCCTCAACAGCAGCTTCCAGGGAATCACAGACAATGAGGGGAATATTCCCATTTCCCTCACTGCCAGGGAGGGAGATTGTGCTCCTTCTGCTTTGGTCTAAACCACACACACGTGGCCAGCAGGAGATGGAAGGTGAGACCCCAAAGATGATGGAGACCCCAAAGATGATGGAGACCCCAAAGATGATGGAGACCCCAAAGATGATGGAGACCCCAAAGATGATGGAGACCCCAAAGATGATGGAGACCCCAAAGATGATGGAGACCCCAAAGTCTCGACTGCTCCCAGAAGTTTCTCAGCTCGGCATGTTCAAACAGCATCCAACCCAAAGAAAAGCAGGATGTGCAGGACAATTGAAATAATCCCTTCTCCTGCAATGTGACCAAACCCGAAGCCCCGAGCCCTTGCTGGGGGTCACAGACTCACCCTGCTCACAGCCCCACAAAGCAGCTCCTGCCACAGGGAAATCAGGGCAGGATCTGCAGAGTCCAGCCTTGTCCAGAGCAGTGATCCTGCCCTAAATGTGAGTGGGGTGCTCAGGGAACCCTTCAGGAGGGGTCACACAGAGCCCTGAGCCAGGACTGGCACTGTCCTGCTCYCTCTGCTCTGCCCTRCACACAGACCCTCCCCAAATCAGCCACAACAGAACAATGACAAATGTTCTCGAAAAAACCTCTCCTGAAATGTCATAAAATCCTTCCACCTAACACATCTCCTCCTCTTTCCCTGCCTGGCCACAGTTCAAACACGCAGAGTTCAACACCACCGACTGTGCCACTGAGACACTGTGAAAGGGTTTCTTCAGAAAAATCAAAGAGTGCCTTAATGTAAGTTTGTCTGACCYRGGCTGTCACCCTTGCTCTCAGYTATGGAAAACCTTTAAATAGAAACRGAACAAAAAGTAAAAGTTGTCTCTGCTTCTTCAGCTTTTCTCTCTGCAGGCTGAAGGTTTTTGCTTTGAGCTGCTTATAGGAGCCAGGGGAGCAAGGGAACAGCATTTCTGGGGGAAAACTTGGGGCTGACTCGTCTCCCTGGGCTGGACATCCTCCCTGCCAGGGCGTGGGACATGGGTCAGTGTCCAGAGCTATGGAACAGTGTCCTGAGCACAGAACAGTGTCCTGAGCCATGGGTTATTGTCCTGGGTCAGTGTCCTGAGCCCTCTGGCCAGTGCAGCCTCTCCTCTCCTCTCCTGGGTGCACACTGGACCCATCTCCCACCAGCTCAGGCTTTTCCTGGTGATTGATCTGCTCCTCTTTGATATTCTCCCTGACAAAGCACTTTTCCTGGCCAGCAGCTATCCACATCTTCAGCTAATAAATGCTATATATTATTGCTTTTTACCAAACCTCTTCTAGCAATAGTAGAGGTTATTTTAASACTTGGAAGTAAGAAAGCAATCATTCAGTGGCAGAGAGGAGAGCCTGTAAACCGAGATCAGCCAAGAGAACCAGCAATATTTCAGAAAGGCTTTTCTGGATCCTTCCACTGCGTCCTGACTAGCAAAGCCTGGCTGAGATGAGGCACAAGCACACAGGGAAAGAACTGTCACTTGCTACTTATGCAAGTGTTGAAATTCCCTTTATAATACTCTCCCTTTACAGTGGGCACAAATCACCCAACAAACACAGCTTTTCACCATAAACCTGAAGCATCTACACTGTAAAAGCGTCCCAGTCTGGATCTGTTAAACCACCCAAAGTGTGCAGCTCCTGGGCAGGGACAGGGACCAGGAGAGTGCCCAAATGCTCAGGGGACAGGGGACCAGGAGAGTGCCCAAATGCTCTGGGGACAGGGACCAGGAGAGTGCCCAAATGCTCAGGGACAGGGACCAGGAGAGTGTCCAAATGCTCAGGGGACATGGGACCAGGAGAGTGCCCAAATGCTCAGGGGACAGGAGAGTGTCCAAATGCTCAGGGGACAGGGACCAGGAGAGTGTCCAAATGCTCAGGGGACAGGAGAGTGTCCAAATGCTCAGGGGACAGGGACCAGGAGAGTGTCCAAATGCTCAGGGACCAGGAGAGTGCCCAAATGCTCAGGGGACAGGAGAGTGTCCAAATGCTCTGTGCCATCACCTGCAGCAAAACCAAACAACTGCAGCTCCACTGGAGACAAACACCACCAAAACAAAGCTCCAGAGGGATGGAGAGCAGATCCTGGCAGGGAGGAGCCCTGCTCTGTGTGTGCTGCAGCCCTTGGCTCCTTTCAGCTCCAGGGAAACMCTTCAGCATGGGCGTCTGTTTATTTTAAAGGTGTCAAACCATCAGCCAATTTTATGAAACAAAAAGCATTCAGAATGGAGAGTACTTCAGGCTAACCATCACGCTGCAAAGTTTCTTTTGGCTAATTAAAAAAGTTCTTTATAAGTGTTTCTCTATTTGCATGTACAATTCGGTTTCAGGTCTTAAAGTGGTATTTCCATAAACAAAAAAACCCCAAAAAACAAAAGCAACTCCAAAAAACCAAACCAAATAAAACAACCAACAAACACACCACCAAAATCAAAAACCAAACCAAATCAAAGCAACAAACACAAAAAAAAATCCAACTCCCAAAAAACAGCTAAAAGATGCATAACAAGTYGACAAGTTTCGGCAAAATAAAAACTTTTATGCAAAACTGACCTGATTCTGGAAGAAGCAAAATGTGAACACAGCATGGCGTAATTGCATGAATTTGTTATTCCAGCCATTCCAGCGACATCTGCTTCTTTCTCTGCCTCACTGATTTTGCACATTATGAGAAGCAGACGGCATTGGATGCTGGTCATTCAGGAAGGTCACCCCCTGACTGTCAGACAYGCTTCCACCTTCACTATTTTAGCCTTATTTGTGACATACCAGAAATTTATTACAGAGAATAACTACATTCAAAAAGAGTATCAATAGAAAAACTGACATGGTTCTAAAATGGGACTGAAAGAATAACTTGAAAACAAACATTATAAGAAGGGTTATTTTTCTGTTTAGTTCTGAATTGTTCTTATTAATATTAAGCTGAACGAAACCCCAAGGTTGAAAGTTAGGTTAACTGGTATTAAAAATATGTGCATCTTTAAACTGCACAGCATTGATTTTTGTGTCCAAACRTCTTTTACTTACAGACATTTCAAGTGTAAGGTAACAGGAAGCCTTTCCCCTGAGAAATGCAGGCTGTTACTACAGAACAGTGAAATCCTGCCCAGCTCCCTGTGAGCACTGAGAAAGAGCCAGAGGTAATGCAAACCATTGCACAGCCCCACCTGGCACTGAGAGGGATTTATTTTTAGAGGGATGCTAAAGGTCAGCAGCTCAAGCCTCCAGCCATGCAATATCAGCCTCAAGATGCTTCTGTACRAGGCATTTGCTGTACAGTAAATGGCATTTTTTTTTTTTTCCAAGACATTACTGATTTGCAAGTTCACCTTCAGTAAACAGTGCCAAAAGTGCTCTTAGGAAAAAAATAAAATGGCACAATTACAACTTGAGCTAGAGTTAGAAAAAGCCTGTAAAATTATAATGAGAACTTCTGGAATGCTGTTACGGTCCTGCTCCCATGAGAACAGCAAGACTCAGAGGAGCACATTTTTAGGAAAATATGCAACATTTCGAGTTCTTGAAGAGCCACTGAAATGTCATATGGTCTACAGGAGGTCACAGAATTGGGGTAAAAAACCACCTTGTGTGTGTAGGCAATGCTAAAGCATCACACAACAGCCACGTACCTACAAAACACCTCTGACAAGGAGAACCCTAAAACGTCCCAGCAGGAGCGGAGCAGGAGCTGTCCTGGGCCAGCCTGGCCATGTGGGTGACACTGGCACTGCCCCAGAGAATGATCCTTGGGCTGGGGTTAGAACAGGGCTCAGAGAGGGCAGAGCCTGGGACAGCTCACTGCAGGGACAGGGAATGGCATGGGAATGGCATGGGAATGACCACAGAATGACCACAGAATGACCACAGAATGACCACAGAATGACCACAGAATGRCCACAGAATGRCCACAGAATGRCCACAGAATGRCCACAGAATGACCACAGAATGACCACAGAATGACCACAGAATGACCACAGAATGRCCACAGAATGGCCACAGAATGRCCACAGAATGACCACAGAATGACCACAGAATGACCACAGAATGACCACAGAATGRCCACAGAATGGCCACAGAATGGCCACAGAATGGCCACAGTGAACCAGACCAACAGTTC